CATACGTCATCCTGTACTACAGTCTCTCCTTAATATATCGTTTTGCTTTGCCCGAGGATTATAAAAGGTGAATACGAAAAGTTTTTTTTCCTCCGTCTCTCTGCTTCTGCTTCTGCCTCTGCCTCTGCCTCTCCCTCTCCTCTCTCCTCTCCCTCTCCTCTCCCTCTCCCTCTCCCTCTTCCACTCCCTCCTTCGTCACTCACTAAATAGTTATATCTTGCTTCATAAGCACTTCCTTATGTTTATTCATCGTTTCACTGAGGACTGGACTAATTTTTTCAGGGATTTTGAGAGTTTCGTAATACACTGTGCGCGCTTCCGGAATCTGATCCCCGTCTCCTTCGTGCTCGGTTTCTATGTCTCTCTCGTCGTGAATCGCTGGTGGGGCACGTACCAGAGCCTTCCCTGGCCGGATACCCTGTCCATTCTCGTCTCTACGCATGTTAAAGGAGAGGTAAGGCTAGTTGCTTTATTTAAGGTCTATATGGTTTACTAACGGAACAGGTAGTTGTGTTAGATATATCAATTGCAGAGTTACCCCTTAAAAGAACATTTTCTGTAAGTACGCATCAAAGAAAATGAAATTAAGAGAGTTAAAGGGCTAACAAAATCAAATATAATTTCTTCGCAGTCCTGGTGATACTAATGAATATAATGATAATAATGATGTAGTTTTAGGGTAATTTTACACAATGGTTCTGCGTAACGGACCGCGACGATTTTGGCATCGATGGATTCCTCTCACTCTCTGGTATCTAAATATATAGAAATTATTGCGCAGAAGCCCCCAACCCCGAGGCCCCAACATTCTTGGCTCCGATAGCAGGGGAGGGCATAAAGGGTAGCAGGGAAATTGCAGGATAAAATATGAATAACATATACAAAATCAGTCACTATATTGTCTAATGCAAAGGGATGTGCCTCCTGCGACCCCCCATGGCGGGCTGTCGCCCCTCAACGCCCGTCCAAGAAATTAAAGAATCCTCCACGTATTCACGGCAGGAGAGATCATGGGACAGACTCGGCATCGGGCGATCCCGCATAGCGGTCATGCGCCCTCTCCTGCCGTGAATATGTTGGGAGCGGCAGCCCCCTTGGGATAGTCGCAGTGGGCGCAGCCCCATGTATTAGACATTAGTGACTGACTGTGCATATTATTCATATTTTACCCTGTATTTGGCTAGAAAGGTTTTGGGTTCATACCGCGATGTTTGTGAATGTTCAAGGACTGGCTGGAGTAATAGGAGGCTGGAGGAAACCTGAGATTCACGATATTACAATGTGAATAATTGAAACCAGGAATAATAATTGCAAATTTTGGATGGCTGAGTGAGCCTAATCAAATTCCACAATGATAAAAGCAATCACCATCATTATTAAAGTAATGCTATTAAAACTGTGTATGAATGATACAGTCAACTGAGCACCTTGATGTGCGCTGGAAAATTATCCACTTTTATTACACTTTCCCTCTGTCTCCGCCTCTAAGCTTTCACCTAATAAATATTTACAACCCAAAAGAATTTTCCATCTTCACGAAATAGCGGATAGGCCTATAAGCTGAGACCTGGAGATATGGTGTACGATGGTTATGTCGGCTTTGTCACTATTACTTGTCTTTGTTCATGTTTAAGTTAGTTTCAGAATGTTAACAGGTTGATTCTCTTACAAGACCGTCAGAACCATAATCCAAGTTTTCTCTCACTCTCTGTCTCTCTGCCTCAACTTCTACCTCTTTACGGTTCGAAAGACTGAGAATCTACCACTGAGAAGACAACGTACCTGGAATATGTCATGGTTATGGCTCTCTGCTGAACTCCTGTCTCTCACGAATAAACGCTTCCCGTCTTCTGTCTCTCGAACTTGTATTGTGAAAAGGCAATCCTTCAAAAAAGGTGCTGAAGTGAAGAAATGGATTTTAAGTAAGGACTACCGATAACATTGCATAGGCATTATTGGCTTATCCAGTTATTTACTGCGTTGTACTTACTGAACTGAATACAGGCAAAATCGATCTCCCCGAACTTCAAACTCGGTTCGAATGACCTTTTCGGGGCTCCTTTTGAACTAACTTCGATTAATCCAGAAATTCTTGTGTATAGCAAACATAATTCTTCTCTTCCCAGTTTTTCAGAGCGCCGGAAAGAGACTCAAAATCGGGAAAATTTGCGCCTACAACTATATCGATGCCCGCATATTTAATTTCATTTTGCAAAGTATGAAAACCGAAGTGAGTACGCGCAACGGGAAGTGCCGTAAATCTAACCTTGGATGAATCATTATGGTGCCGAAAATATAGCCACTGTGATTTTTTTTTTTTTCGTAAATTTCCATTTGATACTGACGAGTCTTATCACTGCTGCTAACGGCCTTGGACTACACCAATATGAAATTTGGTTAATTCCGGATAGGGGCTTTATATCATTCCCGTCATGCTCCACAGCACAACACATTGCTTTTATCATCTTTTTCATTGTTTCTGTACTACTTATATTTAGATTCTTGTGTATTGGTCTATTGATTGTTTTGTTTATGAAAAGGGTAACTAACCAATATATTCCTTTATATCATTACCTGTTTCTCTTTTTGTATCAGTATTCTATATCTTAGATTTGTTCCTATTTTGGATATATAAAAATGGGTCTATTTTCACTTATTTTCCCTGACATGGCATTATTCTCTCTTCTTAGCACACCTCTTACTTTTAATTTATTCTGACTTTTACATCATCATAAATTTCTATTTATTTCTGCCAATTCTCTGGTTAATCTTTTCATGCTCCAAGATTTCCAGAGTTCCCCCTTACATTGCTTTGCCGCCGCTTTCTTTTTCTGTCACACAAGACCAGGTAATAGAGGAAGTCACACGGTCACATTCCATGAAACATTTATCCTTAAGAGCTTAAATTCCCTCAGGCTCTGAAAAGTTGGACAGAGCGGGGAGTTAAGGTCTGATGCTGCTTCCTCGAGCACTTAACAGTATTATGTATCACTTTTGGGAGGTATGCTTTTATACACATACACACTCGAACACGCACACACATACACGCGCACGCACGCGCACCCGCCCACACACACACACACACACATACATACTGTCTATCTATATATCTATGTCTATCGATCTATATGTATATCCATCTATCTAAAATACTTTCTCTCTCTCTCTCTCTCTCTCTCTCTCTCTCTCTCTCTCTCTCTCTCTCTCTCTCTCTCTCTCTCTCTCTCTCCCTCTCTCTTTATATGTGTGTGTGTGTGTGTGTATACATATACACAGATATCCAATGACAACGATGCTTTAACACCCATGAAACAAAACCACTGAATCCCCCTCCCCTCCCCCCCAGGACAACGCCGCCAAGGAGATCCGAGGGACGATCCTGCGCTACGTCAACCTCACCATCGCCCTCACCTTCGCCATGGTATCGCCCGTTGTCAGGAACGAATACCCGACGCCACAGCACTTCGTCAATGCGGGTATGGTAGCGTGTGTGTGTGTGTGTGTGTGTGTGTGTGTGTGTGTGTGTGTGTGTGGATTGATGAGTGTATAGATAGATGGATAGGTAGTTTAACATTTGATGATAAATGGTTTAATTTGAAGATAAATTAATGAATATGTATATAGAGAGATGGAAAATGGATTAATGTATTGATAAATGAATGGGCATATCTATAGATCATAATATCTAGATAATAATAGTGATAATGATAATGATGATGATAACGATAATAATCATTACAAAATAAGTCAATAGATAAATAAATACACAAATAAGAATAATACAAACCATATTATAACATTTATCCTTCACGTTTTTTCCTTATAATTCATTTACTCTTTTATTTCTGATGAATCTCAGTCGAATTTGTGTTCAAAGTTTTACAAATGAATAAATAATTTAAGGACGGATAAAGCGCCCAGGATTGTTGAAAGCAATTCCTTTATTCCTTAAAGGTTACATGACCGTGAGCGAGTTGGAAATCCTGGACGACCTCGAGAAGAAGACGACGCAGCACAAGACGTGGGTGCCGATCATGTGGGCGTGCAGGCTGGTGGACAAAGCCAGGGAAGAGGGGCGAGTGAGGAGCGCCGCCGCCCAGAAAATGATAATGGACGAGATCCTCAAAGTCCGGGGGAGCTGTGGCGGTCTCTTGGGCTGGAACACGTATAATATTCCTCTTGTTTACACGCAGGTGAGTGGGTGAGGGTGATGGGAGGGAGGTGAGGGGGGTGGGGAAGGGAGGGAGATTGGGATAGGGAGGGGGATGGTGTTGGAGGGAGAGAGAAAAAGAAAGAGGGAGAGGGAGACTAGGAAGGGGTAAGGTGTTGGAGGGAGACGTAGAGGGAGAGAGAAAAAGAGAGAGGGAGAGGGAGACTAGGAAGGGGTATGGTGTTGGAGGGAGACGTAGAGGGAGAGAGAAAAAGAGAGAGGAGGGGGAGGGGGGGAAGAGAGAGAGACTTGGAAGGGGTAGGGTGTTGGGGGAGACGTAGAGGGAGAGAGAAAAAGAGAGAGAGGTGGGTAGGTGGGGAAGAGAGGGAGACTAGGAAGGGGGATGGTGTTGGAGGGAGAGAAAAAGAGAGAGGGAGAGGGAGGTGGGGAAGAGGGGAATGGGGCGAGAAGGTGGAAGGAAGGCAGGGGGATGAAGGATGTGGGAGGGAGAGGGAGGGAAGAGAAAAATGAGTGGATGATGGGAGAAATATAATGAAGTGATAAGGAGAGGGAGGGGAGGGGAAGGGAAGAGAGAGATGAGAGATTAGAAAGAGAAAAGAAGCAGGAAAAGCACACGCCACTGAAACATGAAGAGATATCCTCCCAACTCACCAGTAACACACGCCTTTCCTCCCGTCCAAAGGTCGTGACGATCGCCGTGTACAGCTTCTTCCTGTTCTCCCTCATCGGCGAGCAGTTCCTGGACCCCGCCCAACAGTATTACAAAGAAGCCAGCATCGATCTCTACGTCCCTATCTTCGCCCTTCTTCAGCTCTTCTTCTACGTCGGCTGGCTCAAGGTGGCCGAGGCGCTGCTGAACCCCTTCGGAGCGGACGACCACGATTTCGAGTTCCTGCCTCTTTTGAAGCGACATACTGAGGTTGGTGGTCTGTTGGTGTTGGTGTTGAGTTTGTATGTGGGGTTAGAGTAACTCTTTTTGTATGGTTGAATGTCATTATTTGTGCTGTTTTGCATTTGTTTTTCATTGTTTTTTATGTGTGAATATGATTTTTCTTTACTGATTGTATATATATTTTTTTAATGTTTTTGTCACATTTTACTTATTAATCACATTTTCTAGCATGACCTATTCTCTTGGGAATCTTACTGTGTCCTTCTTCTCAATAGGTAAGCAGAAGAACCTGAGAACAACCGTCAATCCTTCTTCAATCTTTCTCTTTTTTCCGTCAGATTTCGCGCATGTTGACGGAGCCTTTGTCCAACGAGCTCCCCGCCTTACTCCAAGGGAAGAAGGAGGACCTCACCACGCCTGTCGAAGCCATCGACGAAGAAGAGGTGGAGAACCAGGACTTCTTCTTGGTGAAACCCGACAGCCCCGTCAGGACTCTGAGCAGCAGCGTAACCTATGTGACTTGCCAGATGAACGAGGTTAACATGCAGAATGACGTCTGAGTTGCCACAGAAAGCTTATTTTTTTACTCTTCCTTTTTATATTAGGTTCTGTGGGTGACTTAGAGGTACGTCTCTTTTGTTGTTATTTGTAAAGTTACTGTCGTTCTACTATTTTACTATATTTTAGAATTGTTTTTTTACTTGTGAGTAGTACTTTATCAACTGACAATTTTTTAGGTGCTAAATGTGCATTACTGTTGTATGACATCAAACGCTTTGCATCTGTCTCGCTTTCAATATTTTTCATAATAAACATTGATAATTAATTATAAAGCGTTTTAATAGAAAAGTGAACTTACCTGATTTGGGAAAAAACAATTCATATAACTGAGTTATCAAACTACTTTTTTCCTTGAGGTGATGCACTGCATATATACTATGACTGGTTTAATATATCATGTCCAAATGACACATTGTACTGATCAAATTGTCATAATATACCTAATAATGAAGCAATTAAGAGAAGGACGTAAAAATTAGTTGTTAAAGGGATTAAACAATTGAGACAAACAGCACTGGTAATGATTTTAACAAATTAATGAAGCGAAGAATTTATCTGGGTTTTTATGTTTACATGGAAAATATTTCATATGGATCTGAAAAAAATGACGTTCCTACAAAAATTTCGTTATTTTTTCATCATATGGATCTGGAAAAAATACGTCCCTACAAAAATTTCCAATATATATCTTTTTTTATCAGGATTCCTACAAAGCGAAAATAGAAGGAAGCCTAATATACATGGAACGAAAATGTAAACTACTGGTAGACTAAATGAAAATGTAAGAATAGACAGAACTATGAAAATACCATAGAGAAAAAAAGGCAAATGGTACTTGACTTTAGCTTTTCCTAACAAAGGGATAAAACCAGTCCCTACGAATTTTCCGAAGAGGGACGAACTTTACTCAAAATCAAGGAGGTTTAAGTCGTCTATTTAGCATTAAGCCAACATGCAAAGCAAACGGGCAGTTTGCTTATCTCCACCTGCTTTTCACTCAGAAGGCAGAAAGTACTGTAATTTGTTTACGAGTGTAAGGAAGCGTGAATCCCTTCGTTGCTATTAATCTGATTTGACAATGCTCTTAAGATCACTTGATAACACTGCAATTTAGTCTGTAACGACGATAATTGCAGCAAAGGATTACAGAGCATTATATCCACAAAGAGGCAGTCGGTGAGTTTAGCTGTTTACTGTATGTTTTCTGGGAAAATAATGCAAGTTAGTGTATTTCTTATGTGTAGGCCTATATAACACAACTAGTAAAGGTAGGAACGTATGTGAAAGTTTGGGAGAACTTTTAAATTTGAAATATTTACAGGCACAAATATTTATCTAAACATTTGCTACATTAAAGAATTTTTTTCTCCCTTTTCAGTCGGGTGGAAATTTTAACACCTAAATATACATGCATATTAGCATAAAATCAAACTTTAAGCGTTTTAATAGTTACCATAACTTTTTTATGGTTTGTTAAAATATGTAGGACATTTCATTACATTTGCCTTCAGAAATGTTCCTTTCTCTCTCTCTCTCTCTCTCTCTCTCTCTCTCTCTCTCTCTCTCCCTCTCTCTCCCTCTCTCTCTCTCTCTCCTCTCTCTCCCTCTCTCTCCCCTCCCCTCTCCCTCTCCCTCCTCATTTGCATGCCGCAACAACACATCGCAAACAAAAACACCATCTCACTCTTCTTACAACTGGGTCTTCCAGCGTTATACATTTGGTAACTGATAGCTTAAATAAGCAACTTCCTCTTGCAAATTTCCTCACCATTTGCGCAATTCGGAGATGCTGCTCGCCGCTGACAACTCTAATCTTGTGATTTGACCGCAGCAGACAGTGTAATTATTGTGTTGGAAGATAGTGGGACAGGGACCTATTTTTTCATCACAGAAGGTATATATATATATATATATATATATATATATATATATATATATATATATATATATACACATATTTATATATATACATATTTACATATGTGTGTATGCATGATACGTATATATAACATATATATAAAGAAATACATACATATAATATATATATATACATACATGCACATACACACTAGTGTGTGTATGTGTGCGTGTGCATGTATATATATAAATATGTATGTATATAATATATATATTATATATATATATATATGTGTGTGTGTGTGTGTGTGTGTGTGTGTGTACGTATATATATATAATATATATATATATATATATATATATATATATAAACATAGATATGTATAGATATGTGTTATGTATATGTGTGTGTGCGATGCCTCTAATAAGTAATTTCCTCTTACAAATCATTCCTCACCATTTACGCTGATTTGAAATGGTTCTTGGCACTGACAATCCTATAATCTTTTGATTGGACCGCAGCGACAGTGTTATTATAGTGTTGGATGATAGTGGCGCGGAGACTATATTTACTCTTCTTATTTTATTATATATATATATATATATATATATATATATATATATATATATATATATATATATATATATATATATATATATCACCTCTTGTGATCGATATTGATTCAAGATTTAAAAGATGCATTGGTTATAATTGCACAGGCGTCTGGCCCCCAACAAACCGATTCTTAATATATTTTCATTTTGAAGGCATTAAATTTAACACAAATTAGTGTTATAATCAAATTATAATGATTATCAAGAAATGATTAGTTTGTTTTGATGTTACCAGATCAATGAGGGAAGAGAATAAGCAGGGATATCGTCACCATTCTTTGTCAGACAGCGTCCTTACACTTCTAGAAGCAAAGAGAAGGAAAGGTTGGGGAAAATTTAGCGACGCCAAATATGCCACGATTCACCAGCAGTAATGTCCAGATTTTCTTCATTTTGCTCTTATTTTGGGGGCCTGTGGATATATCAACGAAATAAGTCAAAGGATGCAGTTCTGATTATACCAAGGAATAAATTGGGAATGGAATTCTATATCCAAGTAAAGCATAAAGAAGGGGAATCGAGAAAGAAGGGGAGGATTGATTACCTAATGAGCAAGTAAATAAGGAAGACATACTGGGGGACTGGGTGTTACACTTTTGTCTCATGTTTGTTTTTACTATGTTCATTGTAATGATTATTGATTTATTATTAGTAGGCTAATGCAGGGTGTAAAGTAGAATTAACCTGAGAATATATATATATGTGTGTATATGTTATTCTTAGTGTTTATTGTTTAGATTTAAGTTGTGATATGCCATTTGTTCATTATTATTTGTTTATATAAAAAAGAATTGTTAAAAATATTTCTATACCCATTGTGTCCTGTATACACTCAACAGGAATAAATTTACACCAACCCACGAGCCTTAAGACTGTTGACATGCTACCCATGTAAAAATTAGGTGTCAAAATTGAAATTTCTCAAGGTTTCATTAAAAGCCCAGACCATGTTAGGCTGTGTTTTAGGTAGTGTTAGTTAGTTTGGGGAATAGGTGGTTAGTAGGAAAGCTCAAATTATAAACAGATTTGTATGAATATATTTACCAGAGGAGTGTCTTTGCCCAACTTAGATGCCTTTGAATTTTGATGATCCGGATCATGATGCAGATCCAGATTTTTTTTAGCATATATATATATATATATATATATATATATATATATATATATATATATATATATATATATATATATATACACATATATATACATGTATATATATATATATATATATATATATATATATATATATATATATATATATGTATCTATGTGTATGTATATATACATAAATATGTATGTACATATATACACATGGGTGTGGGTATATATATGTGTATGTTAGTATGTGCTTATGCTTACAGAGAGATACAGAGAAAGAGACAGGGGGGCAAAGAGGCGAAAGAAACGAGAGACGAGAGAGATACTGACAGACACACACACACACACACACACAAACGGACATACATAGGTATATAGATATATAGCTGTTCATTGTTAATGAGTATCGGATATCACACACACACACACACATACGCATATACAACACACACACAAATGCATATAAAAATATATAGATAAATAAAAATTATATATATATATATATATATATATATATATATATAATATATAATTGATATATCTATTAATTTATCAATCATAAACGATACACATAATTATACACCTTTCAATATATAAAGAGAGGGACTAAATATTCCCCATCCATTAACGATAATAAAGTACTACGGAAAAGCCATCCCAAAACTCTCAGGAGGATGTGTACGTCCCGCGAAGACAGTGCTAAGGGCCTGAGCATAAAACAGCACTTGCTCTTGTGGTTGTTGCTTGCAGATGTGCCTCTGGGGACAAATGTTTCCTTCTACTCTGGGTGGCGAACGCACCCGGCGCAGCACCCCTTCCTGGACGACGGGTTCCTGCTGCCGGTGCTGCCTCCTCGCTACGTTGATCTATGCGCAGTCTTCGGGGCTTCGCGTTGAGATGCTGATGTAGTAATGTTGTGAATGACTGGGGCAGCAGCCTGGGCAGAACATGATAGAGCCATGACTATCACCATACTGGTCATGGAGATGTTGATGATAGTCATAATGATAATGATGATAATAATAATACGATATGATAATACTGATGATGATAATATCAGTAATAATGATAATAATAGTAAAGACAATGATAATAGTAATAACATGAAATTACTGAATGTTTGCCAATTATGAAAATGCATAGATATAAGTAATAAGCGCGTGAGAATTCGCGACAACAAAAGGTATGACAGTATGAATATACGAAGAAGGTGAAACTAAGGATCCAGGAACTCGTTCCTCAACGAAACGATCTAGTTGTGTCATCCGCAAGACAAGAACACAAGCAAAGCCGTAACTGGAAAATTAACTGGCTGGTTAGATAATTAGGCCATTTTTTAGCGTGAGTTAAACAAGCAGAAACAGAACAGAAATGGGGCCCTGTGAGAGAGTGAGTTATTATGCATTTAGATTTTTCTTCTTTTTTCTTTAACTTTTGTTGAATAGAAGTAATATTTTTCTTTTATGGTTTGATTTTATTATTTTGCTTAGAAATATTTTCGCTTTTGTTCATTCGGGTTTTATGTTCATTCATAAAAAAAAATTAATTTTTTACCACCGGGTGAATAAACACAGCATCAGTTATATAGATGTATATGAAAACAAACATAATTCGATGAATAGGAAAATCCAGACTTTCATATAAGTTGAACGATCTATTGAAACACATTTATAAATAAATGAATAAGAAATAAACA